ACTTAGATATTTTGTGTGAAATAATTAGCACATAAATTTCTATAGTTAGCCGGTCGGCGATAACAATTTTGCTGATATGTACGAAGAAAATAGGATAATAATACTATATGTATGGATGAGCTGGCAGCTGCCTTGAGGTGTTTTTGGTCCATTAAATATTTTTGTAGCTATATATATTTTTAATTTCATAGTCATAGACTTAGGAGTAGGAGAGGTAACGTATGCCTATTTCAAAAACAGGATTTTCTTGCAATTAGCACATGGCATGCTTGGATGGTTGAACCAAATTTATGATCTTTTCTTGCTTTTAATTTGCTTGGTAAGCATATCATATGCCTCAGCCTTATAGCCTCACCCTTTAATTGCGTAAATAAGTTATGGAAATGCAAAATCTTGGCATGTGATCCATTAGATTTTGTTTAACAAAAGGATCACATGACCCCTTAGGCCAGAACTCTCTCTCTCTCTCTCTCTCTCTCTATATATATATATATATACACACACATATACAGATTGCTTTGTAGATTTACATGCTATTAGCTAATACCTACAAATCAATATTATCTTAATTGTTAAAGAAACTAAGGCTTTGATATTCCCGAGCGATAAAAGTTACATGTGGCTTCTAATTGATTAGTTGAAATAACGTGGTAATCAGCTCACTTTTTAATTTATCCCTTTTGAATGCCAATAAGAAAAATTCTTCACCTCTTTTTCAACCAAAAAAACAAAAAAACTTCACATTCAACCTTGACCTCTCACGAGAGCTAAGTAGTTATATTGTGCCCTAATTTTTTATTGATTGCCGATTGGCAATTTTAAAGTCATGACATAAGTTCTGTATCCCAATTACCAGTAGAAAGTTGACATGTTCATCATGATTACACACATATCGGGCACAATGTAGTAGTGCCCCAATAAAAATGTATTATCTTAATAAAGAAGGAAAAGATCAATTGCCATTTGCAACTTTTAATGGGCGTCACTAACACCTTTTCTTTGGTTAAGATAATGATATGTGCTCAGACATTAATATAAAGCAAATCTAGTATAATTCCGACCATACTGGCCTTCGTTGGAGTAGATAAAAAGGGATCAGATGGGTTGTCCATGCATCTATTTTCGAGCCCCCACTTTCCCTTCAGAGTTCAGACAGAAGAGAGATCAAAAATTATTTTAAAATTAGATAAAAAGGGATTAGAAAACAGTTAATAAACTACAAATTGCCATGATAAAAAATTATTTTAAAATTAAATTTATATACTATTATACGTACCTTAATTATACGCGTGTAAGCCTTAATTAAAGACACCAATAATTGGTCCAAAACCATTGTCCTACTTCTTCAATCTCAATGGCTTCAAAGAATGTAATAGGAAACTACTCAAGCAATACTCGTTGGATCAAGTACTATTGTTTTGTTTCAAGTAGTGTGTTTTGTTTTTGTTTCACTTTTAACTTGGGAACTAAATAAAAAAGATAAAGAATTGATGGCCACTAATAGGACCCACCAATGCCGAGGAAGTACTAATTATGTTTTAGGTAGTAAGATGGGACTGATTTTGTTGTGTTTTTAAACACTAATTATCTTTGCAAACGACATGATTAGATGGGATGTCCTGTCTTCTAATTAAGGAAGTGATAATCTTCATAAGAAAAGAATAATGTTGAAGTGATAATCTTCAGTGGTTTGGCAATATTTATCCGCTATGTACATGCATAAAGATTCCTTCAAGAATTGAATTAATATTGCAAACTTTTGAGGAGATCATATAAATATCTCGAACTAATTCTATGACTCATGTACAAAGGTAGATCATGAGGATCACGATATATATGAATTTACTTTGCTTCCCCATTTTCCTTTCCCGTTTTGTTTTATAAGGCCTTTATTAAATTAATTGGTGGGTCCAGCTAGTTGTAGTACTTCTGTAGATTCCACTTATATATATATATATATATATATATATATATATGTACACATCATAAGTGATGAAATCACATAACCATATATTGATTTGTTAGGGAAAAAAATGACACAAAAGGAAATTTGTTAAACTGGGGAAATAATATTGGAAAGGCATGAAGGCATCAGAATATCTCTATTTACTTGCCGACTGGGGGGGTATGTGGTAATCCGTGGAGGTGTCAACTTATAAGCTGGTCATGTCTTCAATGCACAACCAGTCTATATTGATGTGAAAATGATAATGACCAGGACATAACCAGAGATTCCCTTGTCAAATCCCAGCTTTTCTTCCTGAGAATATACCTTTCTCGCCACT